AGAGCACATGGCATGCAGTAAGCAACAGACCACCATGAATTAAAGCTGGATTTCAACAACAACAGAAAAAACAGAGAGCATACAAACTCATGGAAACTGGACTACTCTACTGAATCACCATTCAGCCAAGGAAGAAATACAGAAATTAAAGAATTAGTAGAATTCAATGAAAATGAATGCACAACACACCCTTATGGGACACAATGAAAGTGGTATTAAGAGGATAGTTCATAGCACTAAGTGCCTTCATAAAGAAATTAGAGATCGCATATTATGGATCTAGCAACACACATGAAAGTTCTAGAACAGAAAAAAAAAAGCAAACACACACAAGAGGAAGGCAGGACATAATCAAATTGAGGGCTGAAATCAATAAAAGAGAAACAGAACAATACAAAGAGAAACAGAACAATACAAAGAAGCAATGAAACAAGATAGAAAAACTATCCAAACTAACTAAAAGGCAGAGAAAGAATATTCAAATTAACAAAATCAGAAAGGAAAGGGGGATATAACAACAGATACCAAGGGAATCCAAAGAATCATTAGGTCATACTTCAAAAACCTTCACTTCACAAAATTGGAAAATCTAAAAGAAATGGACTAATTTCTTGATAGATACCATTTACCAAATTTAAATCAAGATCAGATAAACTTATTACCCCTAAGGAAATAGAAGCAGTCATTAAAAGTCTCCCAACCAAAAAGCCCAGGACCAGATGGTTTCAACACAGAATTCTATTAGACCTTCAAAGAGCTAATACCAATACTCATAAAGTGATTCCACAAAACAGAAACAGAAGGAACACTGTCAAATTCATTTTTTGAGGCTACAGTTAACCTGATACCCAAACCACACAAAGACTCAACAAAGAAAGAGAATTACAGACCAATTTCCCCCATGAACATAAATTCAGAAATACTCAATAAAATCCTTGCAAACCAAATCCAAGAACACATTAAAAGATCATCTACCATCATCAAGCAGGCTTCATCCCAGAGATGAACATAAGAAAAACATAAGAAAATCTGTCAATGTAATCCACCATGTAAACAAACTGAAAGAAAAAAAGAGATGATCTCATTAAATGCTGAAAGAGCCTTTGACAAGTGCTGGGATTACAGGTGTGTACTACCATACCTGGCACTAGCCTTTTCTTTAATTCCTTTTCACAAGTTGGAAATTTAACAGGGTGGGATTTACCCTGAGGTCAGTACTCCTTTTATTTCATTTCTTATGCTGTTTATCTCCTTGAACACAGGACTTGGATGCATTCTATTTCCTGGTGCTCCCTTTCTCCTCAAATTTTACATTTTGTAATTTTTTTTTGCTCTTTTTCATTATAAATCTTCATTAGAGTTAACACTAATAACCACACATCTATACTGGACTGGTTTGAGATTTCCTCTGCCAACAGAATTAATCCAAAACTCTTCACTTCAGCCTCAGGTTGACTTTTCAAATGGCAGAAACAAAACAAAACAAAACAAAAACAGCCACATTCCTCACCAAAATACTAAAATTCTTCTCCTATGAAATCTTTTGATCCAGGCATGCACGGTTCAAATTACACTCAACACCACTGTCTTCCATGTTCCTATAGGCTGGCTCATAAAACAGTACTTAAAGCATCTAACTACTTTTCTAATGCACAGTCCTAAGGTCCATATTCCTTCAAACAAAAGCATGGTCAGTCCCATCACAGCATTACCCCAGTTGCTGGTACCAACTTCTTAGTTAGGATTTTTACGGCTGTGAAGAAACATCATGACCAGGGCAACTCTTATAAAAGAAAACATTTAATTGGGTGGCTTAAAGTTCAGAGGTTTAGTCTTATTATCATCATGGTGGGACATGGCAGCATGCCGTCAGATATGGTGCTTTAGAAGGAGCTGAGAATTTTACATCTCTGATCCAAAGGCAACAGTAAGTGAACTCAGACACTGGGTGTGGCTTGAGCACATATGAGTCCTTAAAACTCTCCTCTACAGTGACAGACACACTTCCTCCAACAAAGCCACACCTATTCCAACAAAGCCTCACATACTAATAGTGCCACTCCTCACAGGCTTTTGGGGGCCAATTACATTTAAACTACTACAGAGTACAGACTTGTAATGCCACTTAGGAAATCAATATGGTAGTTTCTCAGAAAACTGGAAATCAACCTACCTCAGGATCCAGCTATATAACTCCTGGGCATATACCTAAAGGACATTCTACCATATCACAAGGACACTTGGTCAACTAAGTTCATAGCAGCTTTTCCATAATAGCCAGAAGCTGGAAACAACCTAAATGTCCCTCAATCAAAGAATGAATAATGAAAATGTGGTACATTTATACAATGGAGCATTACTCAACTGTTAAAAACAATGACATCATGAAATTTTTAGGCAAATGGATGGAACTAGAAAAGGTCATCCTGAGTGAGGTAACCCAGACCCAGAAAGACAAACATGCTATGTACTCACTAATAAGTGGATATTAGCTGTAAAGTGACCAGGTTACAATCCACAGCCCCAGAGAAGCTAGGTAACGAGGAGGGCTCAAGGTGGAGGGGGGAGGTACATGAATCATACTGTGAAGGGGAAATAGAATGGACATCACAGGTGGACAGAGGAGAGGTCTACATGTGATGGTGGCGATGGGATCTCTTGAGGGGTGAGGATGCAGGGAGAGAGTACTGGGAGAGACAACTAGACTCCAGGGGCATCTCTGGGATGAGCTAGAAACCTATTGCAATGGAAACTCCCAGCAATCTATGAGGGTGATCCTATGTAAGACTTCTAGTATTATGGGCTATAGAGCCTGAACTGTCTACCTCGCATAATCCGGCAAGACTTCCACTGTTGGGATTGGGACCCCAAGCCAGCCATACAACCTTTGACTTACAATTTGCCCTGCCTACAAAATGTCCTGGGGTAAAGATGGCACAGAAATTATGGGAGTGGCCAACCAATGACTGGTCCAGTTTGAGACCATACCATGAGAGGGAGCCCATTACTGACACTGCCTGGAAGGCCAGGACCCAGAGGCTAGACAACTCAGAGATCTAGGATAGAACCAAACATTGCTAGCAATAAAAAAGTAAATGGAATGATTCTTAATGATATTCTGTTGAACTCATAGATTGGTGCCTAGCCAAATGTCATCAGAGAGGTTTCACCCAGCAATGGATGGAAACAGATGCAAAGACCCACAGCCAAACATTAGGTGGAGCTCAGGGAATCCTGCAGAAGACAGGGAGGGAGGATTGTGAGAACCAGAGAGGTGGAGGACACAAGGAAACCCACAGAACCCACTAACCTGGGCTCATAGGGCCTCACATAGAATCAATAACTAGGGAGCCTGCAGAGGTCAGAACTAGGCCCTCTGTAATATGTTATAGTTGTGTAGTGTAGATGCCCAGATTAAGATACTACATGGGACTTGGTTAAGTATAGGTTTAATTTATTCGGGAGAAGTCACATAAGAAACCCATGACCCACACAAGTTCCTGCTCCAAAGATCAACAACACCCAGGCTGCTCTCTGTGACCCACCGGAACCAAGAGAGTGTGAGCCTGTCCTGGCCCCCAGCCCAAATACCACACACTCATGTACACACTGTGACCATGCCCATTTGGGCGTTGTCAGTCCCAATGGTGCAGCTGGGTAGATCTCTCACTACAGTGTAGCTTGGTTTTTTTCCTGGGACTCCTAACAGTGAGAGCAGGGGCTGCCTGCTTTGGGGACCCTTTCCTCCTCCTGGGTTGCCTTGTCCAGCCTTGATAGGAAAGGAAGTGCCCAGCTTCACTGCAACTTGATATGTCATGGCTGGCTGACATGTAAGGGAGGCCTCCCTGTTTCTGAAGAGAAAGGAGAAATGGATGGGGGTGGGTAGTGAATCTTGTGGGGGAGAAGAGGAGGGAGGGGAAATTGTGATCAGGCTGGAAAAACTAAATTATTTAATAATAAACAAAAGAAATGCATTATACCCCCACCATGGTAATGTCTATATACTTGCAAACTAGTGAGTTCAAGAACACCTCTATCAGAAGAAACAAAAAAAATGCATGATTTAAGTACTTTGAACAAATTATTTTATTACAGTGCTGTGTTGGTCTATATCTAACACACAGATATTTCCTAACACAGTACCAGTGAGGTAGCCACAAGACCAAGCAAGTATTATGAGTAAAAAGTCCTTTTAGTATTTCCTTTAGCTCTCCACCTTTTTCCTGCCCCAACTCTAATTTCTTTTGATTAGTAAGATGTTAATCTCATTGGACCCACTTGGTTCAGTCATTTTACTACTCTATGTCCTGTGAGCCCAACAAAAGCCCCAGGTCACTGTCACTGACTTCCTTTGCTTCTGCATCACTATCTTCCCCTGCCACCCTCTGTAGCTATCAGCTGTTTCTGCTCTGATTGCTGATGTACCTCCTAAGGCAATACTTCCATCTCAATTGTACTTTATAATTATTTTACATGTATGAGTAAAGTTTGCCTGCACTGATGTCTGTACACCATGTGCCTGCCTGGTGCCTGAGGAGGTCGGAAAAGATATCAGACTCCCTGAAATTGGAGCTATAGAAGGCTGTGAGCTGTCAATGTGGGTGCTAGGAATTGAACCCAGGTCCTCTCGAAGAACATCCAGTGGTCTTAACTGCTGAGTCATCTCTCTTGGTCCTCAGTTTTACTTTTAATCACAACAATGTGCTTATGATGAATTTATATTTTTTGTCATTTATTTCTGCCAGAATGAGCTTCTCTGAAATTATTTTCACCAAAAATTCTCATGCCATATTTTACCATCTGAATTTGGGCAATTTTCTTCAAGTATTAGTGAAGTGTTGTCTTCTGCATCTGAGAAGGGTCTTACTATTGCCAGACAGACCTTGGTCTTGTCTTGAGTAATGCTCCTGCCTCAAATTCTCTAGTAGTTGAGATTGCAAGAACATGCTACTTAATGTTTAGCTGCACTTCCAGTATTTTCCAGTAAAGATTATATACAACTTTAGTGAACACAATGAGTTTATTAAAACATCCCAACAAATTTTTACAATATTTAAAATGAGAGCAACAATGTTACATCAAGGAAAGTATCTTCTTTTATGAAAAATTAAATGTATAGAAACAAGAGCTATCATGAAAAGTGAAGACTCTTGGGGAAAATTTCAGGGTCACCCCTCATCGGAGCAACTTGGAAAAAAAGTACAAGGACAATTCCCATATTCTTAAGTGACACACTATCTTTAGTATTTATAAATGTGGGGTGATGGTGATGATGCAAAGGCATCAGGAATTATTATTCGTCTATAAATTTCTATTTAACAACCATACCCTTCCTTAAGTAGATAAGCCTATACTTTTATAAATCATCTCTCCACCTACACAGAACAGGCTTTTGGGAGAGAACAATATGATAATCTTTTTTTTTTCTTAGACATCTGAACTAGTTTGTTTCATAACATAAATATGCCAATCTCTTATGTTAGTTTTTATCTTCAATGACATATGAAAGATCTAAAATCAAATTGGCTGTCTCTACAGCCACCTGTAGGCCACTAAGCTTGGCAGTGAAACAGTCCACAGTCAGGTTGCTGGCTGCGCCCACAGCTGCCTGTGAAAGGCAGGTTTGAGGTGCAAAAGGATGATATGTGCTTCTTAAGAAAGACCAGCTGAGTCCTTCCTGGCTGTTGTACAAGCCACACCTACATCTTGACAGCATATCTGGCCAGTTAACAACAGAAGCAGAAGCAGATGGACCTGACCAAAAGTGTCCATACTTCATGTCAAGGAGGATTTCACCACCATCATGTTCCAAAGAGCCAGCAACAGACTCCAGAGCACTGCAAAATGCTTCGGTAGCAATCTGGAGTTCTGCTTGAGAGTATCCATCGTCTCTGACAATGTCTTCTGTCTGATTATGAATCTAAAAAGGAATAAGACCAGTGAAAACATGCAGATCAACTAATATAAGAATGCTTCAGAAAAACACAATACTTGATCAAAACCTTGTTCATAAGGTTATATTTGCCTTCATTTCCTCAGGATTTGGCAACAATGCTGACTGGCCTGTGTGAGTCAATGTGGTAGGCCAGAGTAACAATGTATATTCCCTGTCATGTAAGCAGAGTGAATGGACAGACCCTTTCATTAGCTTATTCTAAATGGCTGACTGGTGGTACCTCCTTAAATATGTAAAGGACAATGCCCAGATTCTAGGATTAACAAAACAACAACAAAAACAACAAAAACCACATGCATATAGGGCAAAAGTGCTGAACACTAATGTCCCAAATAAAGTACTCATTATATCAGCTAAATGCTTGAGGTCAGTTTAAAATTATAATTAAGAGGTCATTTATGGGTATGTGTAATTTTCATTTCAATGTTTGAAAAATGAAGATTCTTCTCTTTAATCAAAAGGAGTTTAGACTTTAAACTTCCGTTTAGTTCCAACTTCCTAAATTATTCTGGAGGGGGAGGGAAGAAAGGAAAGAGGAAGAGGGAGAAAGAGGGAGGGAGAGACAGAGAGAGACAGAGACAGAGAGAACAAGAACAGTGTTCATGTATGGAGGCCAAAGGACAAGGTCAGATATCTTTGTCTCTTGTTCCTCCCTTTACATTTCTGAGACGAGGCCGCCCAATGAATGGCTACGCTGGCTGGGGGTAGGGGTGGGAGCAGTGAGCACCAGGGATTCTCTTGTCTCCTCCTTCCAGCGCTACAATTTTTACATGGCTGCAGGACTCTGGGTCTTCCTGCTTGCCTAGCAAACACTTCACCCTGAGCAATCTCCCAAGCTCCATGGAAATGGATTAAAATAGGATTGGTAAATAAGCAAGCTAATAACTGAATGATGATTGAAGGACCCATATCCCCACTTTGCAAACAGTTCCTCTCTTCTTTTGAAACCAGGCTTAAAAGTCAGATGATATAATCTATATTAGACATTTCCCTCATTGCTCAATACTGTACTGTTTCTTCAAAAATCTACTTAAGATACCTCTTTTCTCCAAAATATTTTTTTCCTATTCATTAAATCCTGTTTGTAGATCACAATATTACCCATTGACTATCCATTGATTGGCTAGGATTAAATTTTTCATAAAGTATACTTTGATAACTTTTCAGGAATTGGCTTTATCTTCAATTGCATTTGAAGTGATCTGGGAAAGGTGATAGGATCTGTAAAAAATGTTTATTGTCTTTCTCAGCCCAGTTATTCCCCTGGAAACTCTGCAGGGCCTCTCAGGAACCTGTCAACTGGGAATATGTGGAAAACATGCTTATCTTTTTGTATCCACTTTCAAACAAAGTAGGCTAGGATTTATGAAATAACTAATCAGACCTATAATGCATTTACCTAACAACTTTCAGCAAATGGAGACTAACAAGAAGTTCTATATAGTAGAATTATTATGTACCAGCAGATACCTATTTAAAAATTGTGATGACAGTCTGGAGAGACTGGTAAGTGTGTAAAAGGTCTTGTCACTCAGCCTGACAACAACATGAGTTCCATCCTTGGAATCCACACTTAGTTGTCCTCTGACCCTCACGTACAGGTGCCATGGCATGTTGAAGGCATACATACATGAATACACACATGTCATGTGTGCATGCACATAGGAAGTAAATAGTAAATGTGAAATCTGATCCTTGGAATGTGTTAATGAATGAAGTTGGTTCTTCTTGGGAAAAGTATTCATTTTTCTGGAAAGTATTATACAGTTTTTCGAATCATAGCCCTTTTATTGTGAGCATTAGTGTTAGCATTTGGGCATCTGTAATGCTCTGTCCTTGGGGATCTGACAGGTGCCACCACCTGTGCACATTCACTACATTCTCTTTTAAAAAGGCCCTGCCTATCTTCCATCTTTCTCTCTCTGCTTCTCTGCCTGTCTATCTCTCTGTCTCTCCTTCTCTCCTGCCCCCTCTGCCTCTCCTCTTCTGCTGCTCCTGTCTCCAGAGGTTTGTCTCTCCTCTCCTCTCCCTTCTTTTCCCATTCCCCCTCCCCTAATAAAAAACCCCTCCATGTGAGCTCGGTCACATGAAGTCTTTCTCTCTTGCACTGCTTTTTAAAATTACAATTAGAACATCAGGTGCTGCTGAATTTTAGAACTCCCAATAACAGAATGTCAGCTTCAACGTGTATTACATATGGATAAGGATCAAAGAAAATGAACATTTGATAGAGTAAATTCATAATAATCAATACAATCAATTTAGCACCGTGTTTTACTTTCAGGAAAGTATTACTTTCCTGAAATAATTTCGACCACATTATCTGAGTTTTGAAAAAGCTAAGTACCAAAAGTTTTTGGGTAGTATGGTTTGGCCATTGTCTCACAAAACAAAAACTGCTGAAAATTTGAGTACTGTGAAGAGGATATTTAACTTACCTTGTGTCTGATATAAGCAGCCAAATGTGTTTCTGTACAGCCACCACCCAATAAAACCCATGGTTCCTTGATTGTTAACTGCAAGACATGCATTGCTGTTTGACATGTGAGCTAAGGAAGAAACACATTAGAATCAGGATTTCACTCTGGTATGTGAACTGTACCATGCTTTCAGATTAACTTAGATTGTGAACTCAGAGACATATTTTTAATGTTTAATTTTCTGTGTGTGTGGCAGGGGGAGGTTCATGCCAGGACACATGAGTAGATGTCAGAGGGTAATTCCTGGGAGTCTGATTTTTCTTTCCACTGTGTGGGTTCTAGGAATTGAAGCCAAGTCACCCGCTTGGTGTCCAGATTTTTTTTTTTTAAGCGTAAAAGGCCCTGTTTATTTATTTTGTGTGTGTGTAGGGGGTCAAAGTGCACATGTGCTATGGTACAGGTGAGAACTTAGAGGACAACTGGTGGGAGTCAGTTCTCTTCTTCCACCATCCCACATGAATCCTGGGAATTGCACTCAGGTCATTAGGCTGGTATTCAGTGCCTTTACCCACTCAGATATCTCAGTAGCAGAGATTTTAATTCAGAAAGAACAAAATCTATTTTATCAAAGTAGTAATGTGACTAATAAACATTTCCAATAAAGATTTGAGAAGGAAGAGAGACCTATAAGCCCCAAGTCTGTTTTCATGGAATTAGATAAAGATTTTCTTTCACATCTACTTTGTTCACAAACATAGGACTTAAAAACATCTGTGACGAGGTTTGCTGGTTGTACAAATGCCATAAAGTCTGTGTAGAAATGATAGCACCAAGCAATTGTAAGTAAAAACCATGCAAATCTCTGATTTACTAAGGATGAATCTTTAAGCATATATGAATCTTTAAACTAGTAATCAATTCTTTATCTTGTGAGTGCCCTTATATAAAACTTTCAGAAAACAATAAACTCTACTAAAAGGTAGAGTGATTGGGAAATTCACTTTCTGAGTGAATTATTTGTACATATTAGCAGCAGTACACAACAGTCCAGGCATGCTCAACGTGTGGTGTATGGGCCACATGGCTCACAGAATAGCTATGGATGCAGCAACATATCTGTCGATGGCAATGTGGTATCATGTCAAAAGGTTGGATACTGTAGGCGATTCAAATAATTTCTCAGAAAAACTTCACATCAAGAACCTTTAGGTTTCTTGTAAAAGGCAGAAATGACAGGTGGTACAATTTATCCCAATTTACTATAACAGCCAATTACATTAGCTTGCTCGAGCCTTTGCCTGTCCTCTTCCCTCCTTTGGTGCTAGGATCGGACCTAGCACATGCTCCACTCCAGTCCCTACCCCTGTCCCCTTTTGTTTTTCACTTATTATATCACTATGGAGATTCTGGAAAACAGCACACTCCTCAACCTGCAGTGCCTGCTGTGTGACTATGCACCCCTGCTGTAGGCCCTGCAAGTCTACCTACCTTCAGTTCCTCCCAGGCAGTGTCGTTTCTGCTGCAGAGAAGCAAGCTGCAGACAGTCGCTTCATTAGGAATAAGATGGAAAAAATGTTTGGAGCCAAATCTTGCAGAGCACAAATCTTTTACACTTCCGTAAGCAGTAGAAGGTATTGTGTTTAGGGAACCAATAGGCATTGCTCCTAATTTTGTACAGAAAATATAAACTATATAAGCAAAGATGATACTCTTAAAATGAATAAATAGCAATAAAATTTCTAGCTAGTATAACCGTCCCCTCACCAAAGCTTATCATTTAAAATATGCAATATAGGATAAAGAAATAAAATAGGTCTTTTATCTCTGAAGTTCAAATTCTGCTATTTAAATGATATATAATATTCCTATCTTTTAGTCCTGGCTGGTCTGGAAATAGCCATGTAGACCAAGCTGGTCTTGAACCTGCAGCAATCCTCCTGCTTCAGCTTCTTGAATGCTGGAATAACAAATGTACTTGTGGCTATCTTTACTTGTTTATGCTCTTTTGGTTTATGACCTTTGTCACAGCTACCTTTCTATTGCTGTGACAAAATACTTCATCAAAAGGGTAAAGGGTTATTCTGGACCACAATCCTAGGTTACAGTTCATTAGAGAAGTCACAGCAGCACGAGTCCAAAGCAGCTATTTTTATCATACCCACAGTCAGGAAACAGGGCTGCAGGCATGCATGCTACTGCTTAGGTTGTCTTCTCAACTGTAGACCGTCTAGGAATTCCTGCCTAGGGAATAATGCCATGCACAATGGTCAGGTCTTTCTAGCTCAAAAAATGACGTAATCAGGCAGACTGGTATTATTTATTCAAATATGTGTGTGTATTGCTAGGTTTAAACCCAGAGTCATGTCCATGTTAGACAGATGCTCTACCACTGACTCACATTCCCAAACTTACAGACCTATCTGAACATCTGTTAAAAGCTATTTTGTATTCTCAGGAAAAGGCACACAAAAAAATTGCATATATTTTTTAGGAAGTTCAGGATCCCTGAAAGCTTAAAGACCAAAAACTCCATATTAAGGACCTCATTAATTTTGAAAAAGGGTGGGAAAAGTCCTTTTATAAAAAAAATCATTTATTAGCTGGGTGGTGGTGGCACATACCTTTAATCCCAGCATTTGGGAGGCAGAGGCAGTCAGATCTCTGTGAGTTCAAGGCCAGCCTGGTCTACAAAGCTATACAGAGAAACCCTGTCTCGAACCACCACCCCCCAAAAACCAAATGAAATTTTATTTCTTTAGGAACTTCATATAGGGCACACAATTACATACACTATATAGGGCACACACATACATACACTTTGCCAAGGAGCTTTTAAAAATTGTACGTAGGTATGCAAGTGTTAAAATAAAAAAATATATTTATTTCACTATACCATTCCTATTTGTTTATCTTCCCACTATCATGTGGGAAATTACATAAGTCACAGGTTAAAATACAAATAAAGGTGATTTGAATAATGTATCTCTAAATGTATTTAAGGTATACAGAAATCTACACCAACTTCTATAAGAAATAACACTTCACATTTGAATATCAAAGCTGTAACTTGCAGCAATTCACTTTTTTCAGAGGCCAGATTTTTTTTTTTTTTTAAAGATACTTTCATGTAGTTCAGACTGTCCTTGAACTTGCTATGTAGGTCAGGATTGAGGATCTTGACCCTCATGCCTTTTCCTCCCAAGTGCTGGGATTGGGTATGTGCCACCATGTCCAGAGACCAGAAAACTCTAATAATTAGAGTCACAATTTTCATACTGTATTCTAGGTATCTGAGTTAAGTAACAAATCTGGACTAGTGTAAAAAACCAGTGCTCATTTACAATAATGGTGCTGAGGGAAAACGTTCCATACTTTTAACTTACCAAATCCAGTATACCTAAACTAGAAACAGCCAGACCAATGCAAATTAGTAGGCAATTTAGATCTGTCATACAATACCAAAAATGAGTTTAAGTAATTATTTCCATGTTCCTAGTAACTTTCATTTTGATGGTCACTTGGCTGACAGTATTCAATGTTTGGCATAAATGCTGTTTTTAAATAGTGAACTTTAATAATAGTTCAATGAGCTGTGAATCACAAGGCAGGTAGCATGTAGTTCTAGCTATTGGGAGGCTAAGTTTGCTCCTTTAGGGTCAGCACTTTGAGACCAGCCCAACAACATAGCTGGACTCTGATAAACAAAAAAGCAACCACGGCAATGGATGTAACTGATAATTTCTGATAGTTTGTCAGTGCAGTACGGGATACTGATTTAAGAAGTGGCTCACACAAGGAACTCTTTACTCGTGTACTAATCATGCATCTCGTCTGTTGAGTTGTGATTTTAATGGTCTTAAAGGTCTGATGGCCAGGCCTGTTAGAAACCGACTGTAAAAAGTGCCCTTGGTTCTCAAGAACCCAGCTAGAAGTATTCTTTGTAAATGCCAAACATAGATCCATATACCTGCCTCCCAAATTAGGAACAACTATTTGGGCAGAAGTACAGAAATTTCTTGGAATTATGATAAAAATGAAGATGAATAGGATATAAAAGCTTTGTAAAATTTAAAATTGTCTGTCTAATATTAAAGACCTTATGTTAGACCTTTCAACTGTCTGTAAAATACTAAGTGTTAGATCACAACAGACTATACTTGGGGTTGAAAAGTTCATGGAAAATGGCCACCACCATTCTGTTTCTAGGGATCTTTTCCACAAAAAACTTTTGCTGTCAGAAATGAGGCAAATGCTGTAAGGTTTGTGGCTTTTAACTATTTTCAAGTTATTAACAGTGACAACCCAAACATCTCTGCTAAAAAAGGGAGGACGATGTTAGCTTTAAGGTATAAAAGCCAAGAGAACTTTTTACCTGTCACTTTGCTCAGGGGTTCCATCAGAGTCACTCCAACTCTGTCGATGGCAATAATGTGATGCTCACTGAGGAACTGTTTCAAAGATGGGTGTATAACTTTTTGGCATAGGACAAGATCTACCTGGTCACCAACTAGCTGCCTTCCCAGATTAAGCAATTGTTCTAAAACTGCATTCTCAAGAGACACTTGGCAAGAGACCACCACTGTTCCTTCTCCAGCATTAGAAAAATCTCCGGACAAAGACACACAGAAGAGTGCCACCTTGAGGGCACTTGACTTTTGGGTTAGTGATAATCTCCTTAGTTGAACTTCTGACATTTCTATGAGCAGTCCAGGTAATACAGTAGAATCTGTAACTCTTTGGCCCTTTAAGGGAACAATTATACTCTTCCCTAAAATGACTCGGTCTTCTGCACTTTCTGGAATTGTAAGCAAAAAAGCTTTCAAAATCAAAGCACTGATGTGATCTGCTTCTTTTTTGTTGAGCATACAGGCAGGTTTGCTGGTTAAGACACTGTGGACCAAGCCAAGGAAGATATGTGTACTACTTAAGTCAACTGGGATTCGACAACTACAGGCTTCAGACTTAAGATAACTAGTGCAGAGACCCAAGAGGTATTTATTTAACTTAGTAACCTTTGTGGGTGTCAAGCCTATTCTCTGAATATTTTCAATCAGGTTACAGCACAGAATGGCTGTAAATAAGCCACAGTCACCGAAGCAGGACACATGATTCTGCACAGATGCTGTTAGGACCTTCAGTACTGGATGGGTGACTGAGAGGTTTCGAAGCAGGGCTGAGGACTGTGAGGTTGTACACACACAACCTCCCAAGCCATTATGCAGCTGCTTCAGCCTCCCTGAAGGGCCATAGCATGAGGCTAGGATTCCTTTCAAGACAGAAAGTGTGGACCTGACTTTCTCACTTGTCAATGGTTCAGCTTTACACAATGATGGCTTCTTAGCTTCGAAACGAGACATCCTGCTTCAGGTGGAACTTGTACAGGCAGCTTTACTTTGTTCACCTGTATTTTTTTTTTTTTCATTTATTGCACTATCATGTTTTAACATTAAAAACTATTCATGAATGGAAGACTGCACATTCAGCATTACCAGCTACAAAATCAAACTGTTTTCAGACAATAACCAGTATATATTAATTTAATGACATTAATATTCCAAGTATTTATTTTGCTTCATTCTTCAATATTCTTCTGTTGGTTATGGACTGAGACCTCACAGACTCTTTTGCAGCTCTCTGTATAAAGTAAGTTCCAAGATGGACACATACGAAAGTCACCCCAGCCACAAGAAGCCAGTTCTTTCTAACCCAACTGGGGTTTTTCATTTCTTCTTTTATTATCAAATTCAGATTCAAAGGTGCTTCTTTCTATAAGAAATAAAAAAGAAGAATTCCAATGTGTTTTATAGGCAGCAAGTTTAACAATTTTAATACTCTGCTCCATTTTTAGAAAAAGGATATTATATGTCAGAAGCATACTGGAAGTGAGAAAGGGAAACCAATGGACTTAATGCTCTTTTGCTTCTAGAAAAGAAATGGCACATTATAAAACTAAGGCTTTTTTCACCCTTATTGACTAGTATTCATGGTATTGGAAGGTACTATGTACAATTCCAGAAGAGAAACCCTTTGATGTACAATTGTGAACTTCCTAAACCATACACTGGTGCATAGTGGCACAAATGCTGGAGTAATCAACCACTTCGATTGGATTTAAGGCCCACTTCATGAGATGGAGCCTATGCCTGACACTGCCAAAGTGGCAAGTAACCTGAGACTAGATAGATACTGGACCTAGAGAAAACCTAATTATTCTGCTAAAAGATCATGGCAATGAAATGACTCCTAATGACATTCTGCTATACTCATAAATCAGTATTGTGCTCAGCCACCATCAGAGAAGCTTCTTCCTGCAGTAGATGAGAACTAGTTGAAGCCCACAACTGGACAATGTGCAGAGAATGAGAGACCTCGGAACACTTGGTCCTAAATGGGAAATCTTCATTAAACCCTTCCCCCTCAGGACTCAGGGAACCATGTGGAAGAGGAGATGGAAAGATGGGAAGAGCCAGAGATGACGGATGACTCCAAGGAAAGAGTGTCTTATAGACACAGCAGGACTGGCACACACATAAACTCACAGCATTTGTGGCAGCATCCACAGGTCTGAAAAAAATGGGGTCCCAGTGCTAAGATGGGGAAACAGATATAAGCTCCCATTCCTAACCCAGAAGCTATCTCCAATTGACAACTGCTCTCAAAGAAAAAAATAGTCTCTCCTAGAATTTCAGGGAGTATACAAACCATACAGAAGAGCAGGCTCCATGGCTAGAGGATGGCCAACACAAAAAAACTCATTGCTATTATTGGAATATTTTTTGTCTCATTGCATTTTTTAAACCTAATTTGAATTTGCTTGTTGTATATTATGGCTTCTGATTTTGTATTTTTATGGGTTTTGTTTGTGTATGTCTCTGCATGTGGGCTTTCTTGTACATTGTTTGCTTGTTTTGTTTTATTCTCTTCTTTTTGCCTCGGGAGGCGGATCTCTGTGAGTTCGAGGCCAGCCTGGTCTCCAGAGCAAGTGCTAGGATAGGCTCCAAAGCTACACAGAGAAACCCTTTCCCAAACCCCCCCCCCAAAAAAAAACAAAAAAATGGCTCAATGGATGAAGCACCTGCCACCAAACTCTGATGACCTCAGTTGAATCTAGGATCCAAATGATGGAAGAGAGGCAACTGATTCCCAAATTGTCTTCTAACCTGTGTGCTGTGGTACATCACCTAACAAATGAATGAATGAATAAATAAAACAGTACTAATCTTATTGGTTACCCCATGGTACAGGTCAAATTGATCTCAACAATGGAATTGCCTAAGATATAAATCACATTCCTATCTACAAGTATTATTCAAAGCAAAGCAACAACAGAAAATGAAAATAGGCTTTTCCCAAAGCTACACAGAGAAACCCTGTCTCAAAAAAAAAAAAAAAAAAAAGAAAAAGAAAAAAAGAAAAAGAAAAGAAAAAGAAAATAGGCTTTTAACTCCTAGTTTACAGAAATGGATGCAATCCGCTAAATTCACCATGTGGGAGATTTCTAACAAAGTAGATAGATGGGGTAATATAATCCTGTAGAAACAGATATCATTTACCAAATGTGTGCTTATCTGGAACTAGACTCTAAGAAACCTATTGTTGATTTTAAAGACAAATTAAGAAATATGATCAAGGCCTGGTTATAAAGTCATAGTAAAGAATTATTTTTAGTTTTCTCAGTCTGGTTAGTACAAATGGTAGTCCCACTGTAGTAGTATAAATGTTTACTATTTTTTTTTTCACCAGGGGAGAGTGTGAACAAAGTCTCCCACTACTACAAATTATGCACTCAAGTTTCCCGAATTTGGGGAAATCTCAGGGGTCAGCACACCCCAAGTACAATGGATGGGCCTCGCCCTGGGAAAACCACCTCCTTGATCATGGTATCTCCGCTGCCAGGTAAGCATTAAATGTTTACTATTAATATTAAAGATATACAGAGAAAGGTTGCATAAGGGATTTACTTTAAATTCTAACAGTTAAAAGAAAAGGACGAGGAAAAAGTTGCCTAGCTCATGGTAAAGGCACTTCTAACATATGCAAGGGCCTTGTTTCAACCCTTTGCACTGCCCCTAAACCAAGACAGACTCATAATACTGGTGTTAATGTGTACTTGGAGGGTTCAGTTTCCACCCTTTGTTTTCTCATAATGTTTCAAGTTTTTACATAATAAACACAGCACTTTCTGTCATGAGCTTTGCTTATTTAGTGTTTAATGTACTCTGAACTTGGCTTTAACTTCCACCTATCCAAAGCCAGTTTAAATACTCAATTCTCTTTGCTTATCTGGTAGTGTTGGCTTCAGTTGTTTGGTTTCTCTTATTTCTGTGGTTGTATTACCACATAGTACAGGGTGGTTTTGACCTTGCAATCCTCCTGCCTTAGTCTCCTAAATCCTGTGATTACAGGTGTGGGCCACCACACCCTGCCCTCTAAAACCATCAATCCACCACTGGCATCTAAACTATGTTCACCTAAAATTTTTGGAAATTCATTCTTTTCTCAGCTTTAGTTTACTTCATTTTTGAGCAAGGATGTTGTGTGATATTTTGACCATATGCTGACAATAAAGCTTGCTTGGAATCAGAGGGTGGAGCTAGCCACTAGCCCACCAATATTAACTACTGAGGTTTTGGAGGACTGAGGACAGACAGGAGACAGAAAGTAGTAAGGCAGGACTGAGAGAGGATCCCAGCCCTTTTTGGATGGAGAAATGGAAGAGATAGGAGGTCACTGGTGGCTGCTCTGCCAGTTCTCTGATCTTCTAGATTCTTACTCTGATATCTGACTCCCATTCTTTTTTATTGATAAAAGAATAATCAGAATAAAACTCTTCATAAGAAATTTTTTTTTCATAAAGTCTGAGAATACATGGCCTCTAAACTCATCTGACAAAAACTAAAGTTCTATACCACCCCCTATAATTTAATGGTCTTACAGCAGTCTGAAAGAACTTATCTATAAACAGCAAGAATCTAATAAATCTAACTTCGTTTTGCTCCTCATGAAAAATCTTTCTGCATAGGAGCTGTCAAAGGTACTTGCTGCTCCTTTCAGAGGCCCCCAAGTTCAGTTTCCAGCACTCATAGTGGTAGCTCAAAGTTACCTATAACTATAGTTCTGGGGGCTCTGTCTTTGCAGGTGTGTGCCTCCCCCCTCCCAATCCTTTTTAACACACGTTTTATAATATAAAGACTGTCCTATCCCCAAGGCTATTATTTTAAGTTGTCAAGTTTCTAATATTTTGTCACTCAACTTTTTATACCATGGTCTTTATTTTTCTCCTTATGAACATTTAAAAATAAAATCTTGATTTAAAATAAAATTTAGTTGCTATTGTTGAAGTAAGTAGGGTCTCACTATGCAGCTATGTTGCCCAAAATTCCTCATCCTCTTGCCTGCCTCAGAATCCAGAGTGCTGAGACTATAGGTAACAAGGTCTTTCTTTCTTTTTTTTTTCCTTATTTTTTTCAAGATAGGGTTTCTCTGTTTAACAGTCCTGGACCTTGCTTTGTAGATCAGGCCGGCCCTGAACTCACAGAGATCCACCTGCCTCTGCCTCTCCAGTGCTAGGACTAAAAGTGTGTGCTACCATGCCCACACAATGATCAGTTTTATAGTAAGCTAGGACATCGGTCCTAAGTGAGTAAAACTGCTCTGAGGTTTTCCTAAAACCACTGACCTTATGCCAAAATTTATAGCCCATTTTTCAACTCAAGGTGAAAAAAGACATTAGAAAGAAAATGTGCTGACATGATAGCTCACACCTATAATTACAGTTGGGAGGCCGAGACAGGAGGATTGCTCTAAGTTTCAGGTCCAAGTGGGGCTTGCGGGAGACAATTATATAGTAGTAATTTTTTACATCAAACCCTTAGGGCCAGTGTATTTCATACTTTAGAATTTCTTGGCTTGTGTAAATATGTAATGAAAAAGTTAGTGCATACCACAACACAGCACTCATAATAAAAGGTATTTCTGCAGAGAAGCTAAAGCTTAGGATTAAGTGGAAGAAATACTTCAAATTGCCTCATGTTAGTTAAAAATCAAGTTTTGCTGCTAAAGGAGTTTGACAAATGTTTTGCCTTTTAAAACCTTTTAGGCGGGGCGGTGGGGGTACACGCCTTTAATCCCAGCACCTGGAGGCAGAGGCAGGCGGATTTCTGTCAGTTCGAGACCAGCCTGGTCTATAGATTGAGTTCCAGGACAGCTTCCAAAGCCACAGAGAAACCCTGTCTCAAAAAACCAAAAACTTTTCAGATTTTGGAATTATGGATGGAGGATTATAGACCTGAGCTATATAATCATATTCTCTTGAGTTTAGTGATTTCTACTCATAGAAAATTATTTTAAAACTATCAACTTACGTATTTTTATTTTAAAACAGTAACTTTAAATTTAGGTTTTTTTTCTTGACACTATAAAATTAAGTGCCCATTTGTAGGGAGACATGGTAGCCCCGCCCCCAGGTACCCGGACAGGTGTGCTGGAACACGCCCATGAGGGTGGGGTGAGGGGAAGTCTAAGGTGACTTCAGAAAGGCTTCTTAAGGGACTGTGGACACGTGGACCATCCCTTCTTCAGGCCCTTCTCCAGGCTCCCTCCTCCTCGCTCTGGCCTTGCTGCCTTGGCACGATTGGCCTGTGCTTGGCCAGTGTATCTGAATAAAGAGACCTTTGCCCTATTGACTGCTGGTTGTACACTCCACACCTGTTACTGGAAAATAACAAATAACTGACCACATTTAATGAAACTTACCTGAAAACTGCAAGCCTGCTACTTCTTCTAGGTTTGGCTCTTTGGTTGACTTGCAAGTCCCAGACTATCTGGTTGAGTGGTATCGTCCTTAGGGATTTGGAAGACAGGGCTGCTTTTGATTTTGTGCCAGCCCAAATGTATGAACCCAATTAAAGGCACCATAACAATCAGAACTTTGTATTCTTTCCAGAGGTTCTGAAGATTCATAGTCTGTTGACATCAGAACACCTAAGAAAAGATGACATTTAAAGGAAGAAATGAAAATTAAACTAAACTCGAAACATAAATGGTCTGAAATCATGTATATTGCATTTCAATAAAATGCACTTAAGGGCTAGAGATGGCTCAGTGGTTAAGAGTACTTGCTGCTCTTGTAGAAGGTCTGGATTTAGTTCCCAGCACCTATAAAGTACCTCCGAGAGGATCCAGCATTCAGGTCTCTGCTGGCACTGAGCACAGACATACAACCTCTAATACACACATTAAAAAAATCTGACAATGAAGCCATTTGTCAAAAGTTAAGAATGAGATCCTGCTGGAGCCAGGTCTGGAGGCAGAGGCAGGTGGATATCTGTGAGTCTGAGGCCAGCCTGGTCTACAAAGTGAGTTGTAGGACAGCCAGGACTACAGAGAGAAACCCTGCAAAAAAAAAAAAAAAAAAAAAAAAAAAGAAAAAGAAAAAGAAAAAAGAAAGAAAGAAAAGAAAAGAGCTTCTTCTGCTTAGGAGCACTGGCATAGAATGACCTAGATTTTCCAGAATGTGATGAAGATGAACTCCTCAAAGTGTTCTAAGCCTGACATGGATTCTAGAGGTTGACAATGGTCTTATGCTACTTGTCCAAAATCAGAGCACAGGTGTCTGTATCATTAATTCAGTTTAGATTAGTCACATTAGCTTGTTCTTACTATAGAACAGCAAGGCTGAATGAACAGACATACCTCTACCTTGTTATAGTATATGCATAACTATACCCAAGGGCCACAAAAGGAAAACAATGAGGTAAATACTTCAGACCACAAGTATTTTAAAATTTATTTCATTTCTATCTATGATGGCAACTAACCCCTTTTCACTTCTGCAGTAAGAGATTTTATCTTCAATTTCCTAGTAAGACTTTTATCAGGTTTTCTGTAACTGTTACATCCCAGGCTAAAAGATTTCTTGGTGGCAGAAATAACAGTAAGGTGGAATGAGAGAAAAAAAATCCCAAACATTTGGCTTCCAGATATCAGATGGTTATTTTCCACTAACAATTTGAAGACAGTTTTTGTTTTGTTTTGTTTTTCAAAAAAACACAGATTTGCATTTTGCCTATGAGGTTTCCTGGGCGCCATCTGCTGGTGTTTTAGGCACAGTGTAAGGAGTTCTTTCTGCTTAAAATACACGGAAAAACAACACTAGTACAAAATGCAACATAATCATGAAGAAAACATCAGCTAGAATGTTAGAATTTGCTGTCGAAATCTTGTGTTTAGCATGTTTGATATTTACTATAATTTCATGCCTTTAATGAAGATGATGATGTTGGATATTTGTGAATTCCTTATTTCTGAATTCCAATCATTGACTTGAATAGTTCTTTTAAAAATTTAGTCCTTGTAAAAATATTCTTGTTACCTTTAATTTAAACAACCATGCAAACTTGCTCCTTAGCGTAGCCACCATGCACAATTGAAAAAAAGGCTAGAAGAAAGTTTTCCTTATAAGAAATGACTTTTGAGAGAGTTATGTTTAACTTGCCTTAATCATTAGCAATACATACATGTACCACAACACCACATGATGCCTTATATGTACAGTTTTAAAGAAAATGAATGCATATTGTGTTCATGTCTAACCCGTCCAGCATGGTAAAGACAACAATGGTTGCCTTTTCTGCACATTTTCTAGATTTATCTTTTAAAATGGCACTAATTTTGTTAGACTTTCCTGGTCTTGTAAATACACACACACACACACACACACACACACACACACACACACACACACACTATAAGAAACGTCAACTCCTGATGAACCAACGGTTCTCAACTGAGTTCTACAGTTTCCACTCCGTACAATCCAACTTTACTGTTCAAGGACAGCTTGATCAACATCTAACTCCAGAAATTTATCTGTTGTCAGCAAAAGTTAAAGTGACATTCTGAGAATCTCATGGTCTTTGCTATTGTTCACCATTTACTGTTAGTTCAGTATATTTATAATAAATTACAAACCAACAATACTGAAACCCTTACAAAACTTGTATGAGGGTGTCATTAACTGTGGGCTCCAAAATACAACTGATTAGTGGCTGAGAAGTGACAGCCTCCTGGCAGTCTGTGACTCATCAGAAAAGATACAATGGTTTAGAGATGTTTCAGAGGTCTCCCATGCTCTTTCACTGGTTTTCCTAATTATCATTGATATTATTATACCTGAAATATAATTATTCTAGCATCTGACATTGGTACTGGTGGGGGGAAAGGGCCTGCAAATCATGCAGATTGTTCTAGATCAAATGTCCAGTCTCTTGGTTCTCAGTGTGACATCAGAGATTTTGATCTGCCCCTCGTCTGCTCTAAATTTTCAAAAGGCCAATTTCTACCCTTCATTTTTGAGATTTTTATTCTACCTTTGTTTCTGCAAATAATGTATTGGCTAGAGGATGGTAGTTATGAGATATTAATACTCTCAATTTCTTGTCCACACTGTAAAAATGTACTCGTCCTAGCTCTCATCTTAACCTTCCCTACTGTCTAAAATAAGGAAGCAGTTACATATGGTCCAGTCTCATTTGTCACCAAGCTGTCAATTCTAACACGACTGGTCCCTTTCTTCTACCTTCAACCTATCACTTTTGATGGTCATCTTCCTCTGTAAAGAGTCAAAGTCTATAATCTCAGGACTGGGAATTACAAGAGAATCATTGAGATGACAGTATTGTTCAAGGTCATCCATCCTTTAGCAAAACAGCAAATAGCCTAGGCTATATGAAACTCTCTCAAACTAACTAAAACAAACAAAAACAAACCAATCTAAGTTAAAAACAACAAAATCCTCTTTTCTTTCCTGACTGCTGTTATGCCTGGATTTTGCTGGGGGGTAGGGAGGAGGGTGTATGGAGGAAAGGATGACTTGGGAGCTAAGAGCTCTTGAAGAGAACTGAATTTGGTTCCCAGCACCCTCATCAGGTGGTTTACAAGTACCTGTATGTAACTCTAGTTCTGGGTGTAACACCTTCTGGCCTCTGAGGGCACCTGCACTCATTGCACATATCCCAACAAGGGCACATACCTATATACATAATTAAAATCAAAATAAGATTAAAACTATCTTATACTAAGCTCATCAATTCCGGAGATCTGGATATAATGTATATATCACTCTTAAAAGCCAGTTGCCACATCCTGCCATTTCCTATAACTGCCTCCCCCTAAACATAGTCCAGAAACTTATGACCTCTAAATGACTTTTTTTCTTTTTTCTTTTCCTTTCTTTCTTTTCTTTCCTTTCTTTCTTTCTTTCTTTCTTTCTTTCTTTCTTTCTTTCTTTCTTTCTTTCTTTTTTTTGTGGTCTCATCAGCAGCAGCACTAGTCATCACCTGGGAACTTAGTAGAAACGTAAATTCTCAGGCTGCCCTGATCACTTTAGCGGAAACTCCAGGGTATTGTCCAGAAACACTCACTACAATTCCCAGGAAGTCCTAAAGCTGTAGTTTGAGAGCTACTGTTTGAATGACCCCCCAAAAGCCTCTGAATTCCAACTTACAAAGAGAAATGGGAAGTCAAGTTTCTATTTGCCTGGAGGACTTAAATGACCCTTTTGACTAAAGCATAAAAGTTCAATCTCTTACAACACGAAGACCATCATGATTTAGTTTCTACCGGCTAGTTTTCTGAGACTAGAGTAAATCAGGTTAATAAGAATGCATCATAAGGCAGTGACTTTTAGGGAATGAATGAACCATGGAACTCTCCTGCCTGGGCTTCAAATCTTCCCTGAATCCTCTTTAACTATACTGCCTCAGCTGAGCCATTTCTCCCTATCAATGGCAAAAGAGTAATCATGGCTTCCTTAATAAAAAACTGTGGTGCAATTAACATACCTGAAGCAGCCTGGATTCAGTAGACAACTATTAGTATTATTATTTGGTCATCTGAAAAGGGAGAATCCCCTCCGCCCCCTTTTGAGACAGGCTCATATGTAATTCAGGCTGGCCTCCAATTCATACATGTTAGACAAAAAATAAAAATAAAACTATCCAGATTCTCAAGAAACAGATTTTGTAGTTTTGGGGGCTCTTCCTTGTGGTGTGTGTCTATAGCCAGAGTATAAGATGTTATAAGCTAACAAGTGGAGTATGTAAGTCAGGTAAACTGTGAAGAAAATTAAGAAAACTTCTAAGGCACAGAAAAGCAGCAAACACAGAGTCGTTGTCATGTGTGCTTCTCGGATAATAGTTAATAAAGTTGTAATTACCAAGTGATTAGATGTGAGAGTTCTGATACCTGATCTGCACTTTCGGAAATGTTGGACAAGAACAAAAGCTTTGGACAAACATGAGAATCAACTCTAACCTTCATCACAAACTAGTTATCAACTTGGGAAAACTGGTTCCTGCCCCAATCTCATAGTCTATCACATTATAAAAATTATTAGACATATTTGTAACACTATAGTGTGAGCATGGGTAATTGCTCAATACACTGCAGCTACTACTGGTACATATGCCTGGCTTCTAATACATAAAAGTAGGTTCCTCCTGAAACTCCTGTTCGAGCAATATGATGAGACATCTATTCTTCTGGCTACAATTTACAAAATTAGGAAAATACTGTATTGATTCAAATGTCTCTAGTGTTCATGTCAATTTTCACCACCAAATTTAGAAGGTGGTGATCTTAATAATCCATGATTAAACACTGTATAGGAGCAAAAACAAAAGAACTAATTCAGTAGCATGCTTTCTTTTGGACCACCAGCTAGCTCCCAAATCATTAGTTGTGTTTGCTTGGCCTTGGCTTAGCTTATGCTTGTCCCACTAGGTCTTAAAACCTTAATTAACCTGTTTGTCTTCATCTATGTTTTGCTTTTGCTTTGGGCTTTTTACCTTTCATTCTGTATGTTCTACTCCATGTCTGGCTGTGGGCTGTCTAGCTGGCTCTAGGCTTCTCCTCCCACCCCCTTACTTATTCTCTCTGCCTGCTAGCCCCACCTATCCTTCTACTGCCTAGCTATTGGCCGTTCGGCTTTTTATTAGACTAATTGGGTACCTTAGGCAGGCGATGTAAAACAGCAACACAGCTTTACAGTTAAAATATCACAAACAAATGTAACACATCTTTACATAGTTAAAGTAATAGTCTACAACACAAATCTATTCAGTTTTCAAAACCATACTTCTCTATTTCCTCTGAATTAATTCCAATGTTTTCTAGTCAATATTCACGATTAGTTTAACAGCCATATACCACAGGGAACACAGCAGCCACTTGTTTGGTTCCTCTACTTTATTCTCATTGTAGAACAGAAACTAGAGAAACTTGCTTTCTTAGTCCTCACAGGGTGGCTCATTATGACAGGAAATGAGTAGGGGCAACTTGCCATTTATTAGCAGAAGGCATTTTTGTATTCTATATTACGGAATCTCCAAATGTTATTAATAGCTTAATACATACAAACCAGCAAACAATAATAATGGATAACCTTCAGACCACTTCACATAAAAACTGTTAGTGGTTGTTTGGAGTTACCACTCCAAGCCAGGTGATTCTTGGTGGAGTACAGCTGATATCAATGGACACCAGTAGACTCTGTTCCATTAAGTGCCTGGCTCTAGATGTCCGGACAATGAAGGGAAAGTGCAAGAGGTGATGAGAGGTCCAAAAGTCTCAGAAACTGGCTGAACACCTGAGCCGATGGTAAAGACTGAGCCCCAGAATAACAGCTGCCTTTGTGCTCGTTTTAAGTAGTTTAGGCCCTGTATTTCCCCAGGGTCTCAATGCCCTGCTATCTCAAGTTGCCAGCAAAAAAGGGCATCTTAAAGATTCAATTTCTGAGCCCATTGATGGTGATGCACACTGTTAACACAAGCATCCTGGAGGCAGAGGCTGGAGGAGCTCTGTGAGTTTGAGGATAGCCTGGTCTACAGAGTTCCAGGAAAGACGGCTACAAAGAAACCCTGTCTCGAAAAACAAAATGAAAATAAAAAAAAAAAGAGTCAATTTCTGGTTCTTATAGTATTATGGGCCTGGCATTTCATTCACAGTTCTTGAGCTTCAGCTATTCTTTCGGGTGTCCCTCACCCACAGCGCCTTGCTCTGGTACTCAATCTAAAAGTTTGTTAGCTTTCCTCTCCGCTTCATTATTTTCTAGGACTTTATTACTAGACTACAAGTTCCAGGAGGGAAGAAACCTGCCAGTCTAGATCACTGACATATGAAATAGTGTTACACACACACTATGTGACAACGAGAAAGCAGATGATGTTCATCAAAAAACTTTTCACCTAGGAAACATCAAAAGATGATCCAGGAAGATCAACAACGTCTCTTGGACTCCCCCATGTCAGATGTGCTTGTCTCTCCACTATACAGTCAAAAGCCCGAGTGCTCTTTCTGCTTTCTCAAAGTTGACATGATCATGCTGCCAGAGGTCTATGCTCCAGTTTGGCGTTTCAGGGATGCCCCCACGCCCCGCCAGCCCCCGGTGTACCGGCACCCTCCCGGTGAAGGAGTGAGAGGAGTTCCGGGTTGCAGGTGGAAAGCGACACCGCAGGTGACTATTTCCCAGGGAAACTTCTCCATCCAGTTTGCCGCGCAGGCGGCTGTAGGAAGCTTCATTACAACTCTACCTGGTACCGGACACTCTTGGCCACCCACACTCGCACGACTACCATCAGGTAGTCAAGTCCCGACACCACTTTCAAAGCCGGCCTTGGGGCCTCTCTGGTAGACAACTGCCTCCTTATCCCTGCCCCCAAATACCCTTGGCCGAGGCCACCCGCGACCTTCGCGTGTGGGGACGCAGGGGGACCGCAAGCTGGCTTCTCCACTGGCC